CATATTAAACTTCGCCTACCAATATTATCATAAAAAAGAGTCACAAAAAAGTTTCTATAATTAGATGCCACCCAATGTCCTCTATCCACTTTCTAGAGTATAGCTTATCATAAACAGAGGCTCTTACCATTCATAATCACTTTTATTAAAGGAGTTGTCCTTTATCACCTGATCTTGTGCCAAAAATAATTAGTGGATCTTAAAATGTGCTTATCTTGTACCAAAAGGGAAAAACAAAAGGTTCTTGCAAACTAAAAGAATAATAAAAGGATTTTTCTTTTTCTATTATATTATTCTTTACTTCCATCAAGATGGTAGATTCGTCACCAGTGCATTGGCATTTCAGAACAAAGCATTTATTTGATTCCTTTTTTTTTTTTTTCTCTTTCCCCTTAGAGAGAGATTCCAATTAACAAAATCGTACCTTTTTTTTATCAAGAACAGCTACCCCATCTAGCTAATAAGAGAGGATGGATAGATGAAAGTGCATTTCTTAGGTGCTCCAATAACTGAGCCACAAAATGCCACTTTTAGGTGTGCGTTGGTGAGAACTGTGACCATATCCTTCCAAACGCCTAAGAAAGCTCATTTGGGTAATTGGCGAGAGTGATTTAACTTTATGATATTGGCTTTGGAAGAAAAGTTACAAAATTAATCAATCATGATACAAGTGCGTTTGTTTCATATTATTATACAATATTTGAATTCAAAGCAAGATATTAAGAAAGAAATTTCTCAAAATTATATATATGTAATTCGATGAAAGATATTTAATTTTAATAAGTGAAAATCAATACGAAAATACCATAACGATTAAAAAAATTAAATTAGAGTTGATATGGACCCATGAATTGAAAATGAAGACATTAAGAGGCAAGTTCTAAATTAATCATTTTACAGCTCCACCCTATACTGTTTTTGGAAGATTAGTTCCAAATTTATAATTTTGTTGAAGAAAACTTATTGTAGCAAAAAGGTTACACAGCGAAGTTGGCATAATCAGGCCAAGTGGGTAGGGACAACGACAGTACTTCAGACCAGAGAACAAAGGAGTAAATTACAAATTAATTCTTCTAATTTTGAGAAACGAATTAATTAATTTTTTCTGTTTTAAAACATAATTATTTAATTTTTAATTTTTTTCTAATTTTATTTTTTTAAAAAAAATAGAAAATGAAAGAAAATAATTAAATATTTAAAAAAATCATTTTAAAAATAAAATAACATTTAATTAAATATGATCAATAGCAATCAATGAATTAAAAAATTAGTTTTTGAAATAAAATCGATTAATTAATTCATTTTTTGAAATTAGAAAAATTAATTTATAATTTACTTGAGAATAGAGATGCTTCAACCTTGACGGTTACATTAGATCGTCCCGCACGAAAGGGAATAGTATCGGAGTCAAACTAATTAAAGCATCAGAATGGGCAAATTATTCTGCCTTCTATCCACTAGAACAGTGTTCCTTTTCCCTTTCAAAAGGGAACAATTAATTATCAATAGACAACGTACGCTGGTGCTTCATAGAAAACTTAAAAAGGAAAGGAGGGCTTCTTGAAAATGTTTCGTAATATTAGAATTTATGAGTTTGCTAGAAATATCTCCTCTCTTTTTTTATATTTTATTACTATTATTTTTTAAAGATAATCAAAATTTTAAAACTTGTAATTATTATTTTTTTCGATGCTTAGAATATTCTAAATCACTTGCGTTTTAATCAAAATTAAGCCATCTCCAAACGATTTTAATTAAAAGCATAACCTTCACTTTAATTCAGTATTATATATATATATATATATATATATATATATATATATATATATCAATGCTAACATAATTCAAAAAAAAAAAAAAAACTTTTTTAACCATCTAACTGGCCTATTAAAGTTGTTAACATTTTTATATAATTTCCATGCTTTTCTATTTGAATTCTTGTACATAAATTTAAAAGAAGATCGATCAAGAACATTCATCATTTTTTTCCCCCAAAAAACCGACAGGAAACAAGTAAATTCATTTTGACAATAGTCGTGTTAGTTAAAAGTATTGACGTTGCATCAGTGACAAAAAGGGTTTTCAGAATCACAAGTATTTGTGGTATCTCGATCATTTCCATTTTTCTTTTTTCCGCATGTAGTAGTTAGGGCTTCCCAAGTTGGATTTGAGGAATTAAGGAAGAGACAAAATCTAATTTTCAAATTTAGAACAAATTTGAAAATGGTGCAGTAGAACTCATTTTCAGTAGCGGTGACCATTTATGTATGTCAACTGACTTAATTTATATGGTCCAAGGCCTATCCACCCCAAAGGGTTGTGACTTTGTCGACCAAGAGGGTGGGCAATTTGTAAGTCAACTAATTCTATAATGCAACTGATGCAAGCTAGCTAAGCAGCACGGGGTTAGCAGTAGGGAAATTTGATTACAATCTACTTAAATTCTTCGAGTATTGCTTACATTGTTAGCAACCTTCCTGTAGCCATGTGTGAATTTGAATTTACTGCTTTTGGTCAATATTGTCATTCATTGAACTGCTATATATATATATATATCATAAATTATACATAATCCAGGTCACATGACGATTATTGGATAAGACAGTGAGAGTTTTATTAACTTTGTTATTGTCTTCGTTTCCTTTCTTCATTGAATCTTTGATGCAAACTTGTTTTTGCCGAAAGAGGTTTCTTTATTTTATTCTAAAATTGACTTGGTTTTGTTGGTTCAACTCTTGGTGGAGTCCATATTTATATACTATATGTTCACATGGAAGAAAAATGACATTCAATGCCTTTGAAAAAACTCTAAACCACTGATGTACAAAAATCCCAGAAACCATGTGTGCGGCGGTTTTGCATAAAACTACTGCTTTGATGTTTTTAATAGGGAAGAATTCAACAATGAAATCCAGAGGTAAACCAAACCAATATATATATATATATATTCAAATTCCAAGTCCCTCACACGTAAAATTTTTTTACCAAGGACATTATTTAATTCTGTTCTGGCACGTGAATGTTAAACTACATAAATAAGTTTACTTTGACCCCTACTTTTTGTAATTACATCAACATTTTGAAGGGAAAAAAAGAGAAAGGCAAAGGACATATTAATCCCCAACTATTAATTCTCAATTTGGATTCCAAAAAATAAAATCTCAATTAAGTCCCCTTTCTATTGGCTGTTACTCAAATATCCCTTGCCTTGGATTTTGTTGCGTTTGAAACCATAAGAGATGAGAATTTGTTTGTTTTGACAAGATGTCGTCTTGAGCATACATTTTTTTTAATCAACAATAATATCTTAATATTCATTGATAAAGAAAATCAAATAAAAGTAACAAATTAAAACTTAACAAGAAGAGCATCGATTACTCTATTAAAATACAAAAATAACATCTCAATAATTAATTTTATCTCATTAACAAAGAGTAGATTTTTCAAATCACATAGGTTGACATTAATAAGTACACATCCATCGACTTGTTCCGGATCAAAACCTAATATATTATGCAAACAAACCACCAATCCAAACAAATTAATAATTACGTTTTTTTTAATAATTGTCATAGATATGAAAAGTTTCATGTGTATTGTAAAATACTACGGATCACCTACAATGTAAACCCTAAACCACTATTTCACAATCCATCGTATCAAATTGTCAATCCAATGAAAAGCTCATCACTAAATCCATCCCGTTTAGTGTAGAAAATAAACAAAGCAAGCCGAGATAATTATTTCTTTAATAAAAACCTTACCCATCAAATCTATTAGAGAGCGGATATGTCTAGCAAAAGAAGGATCTCCTTCACTCCTAATATGCAAAAGGAGATGAAGAGGACAAGGATGAGGATGGGAATTATTTATAATTCAAAAGGAAGATAGAGAAAAAAATGAAGTTTTAGCATACTAGACAAAACAAAAAGAATTCCATAAATAAAGATAGAAAGAAACCCTCAAAATAAGCAAAATTTGGAAGCAATTAAAAAAAGAAAGAAAGAAAGGTAATGTTTGACGGTTTGGGGATCCAATTGCAATTGTTTTTTGTTTAGAGAAAAAGTTAAGATAGTTAGAGGACAAATATGAAATATGTTCTTTACTTTCTTTTCTTACCCTTTTCATTTCTCCATAGAAGAAACTGTTGCAATTGCGGCTTAAGGGCGAGTCAACACATTGACATGACTCCGATAATTTGGTCCTGACCATATTTACCAATACGAACACTCCATTTGACCAAATTAATTAACTGTTCACCACATTTCATCTCTATTCTCATTCTCTCTCGCTCTTTTTTATAAAAAAATGTGTAAAATAAACTCTTTTATCTTTTTTCCAATGATTTATTTTAAGATAAACTTTATTTTAACTCTTACGAACTGACAACTTCATCATCGTGCACAGCAACTAATATTACGTGTATAAAAAACAAAACCAATATTTGTTACCGTTTTCATCTGTCAACTTGTTAGCAACTAAAATGTTTATTTATAAAACGAAAGCCAATAATATTTGATGGAAGAAAGAAACTATCTACTTGTTTTTCTTTTTGGGATGAATCAATTAAGAGAGTCAGAACCAAGTACATTGCTTTAAGCATCCCATTAGCTGGCTAATTAAATTAAGCAACTCTCCCATAGAGTAGCTAGGGCACCGTCTAACCATCTAGCCAAGCTCCTTGCCTCTTCCCTTGACCCAAAAGGGCAATCCACGCCATCTGATACGCCACGTTTTATGTCCCCACGGGCACAGCATCACAAATATAATTACTTGTCTCTCCATGTCATACTAGAGTCGTTTGACCCATATGCAAAGAAAGCATCCTAAACCTTTTTAAGCCTTATTGGATAATTTTGTCAAAAACTCTAAAATAAACAACAAAAACAAAGAAAAACAAATCATCAAAACTTTTGGTAATCCAGCGACAGACATTGAACACCAAAAACCCAAATCTCAGTAATTTCAATACCTATTTAGGGTAGTTTGGTCAACGTCACATGTCATGGACCCAGGACCGTGTTACATCACCAAATGGCATTCATGAAATTATATCACATTTTGGGTGTAATTATGTAGCAAAATGGTTCATAAATATACCGTGTGGGGAGACAGGAACAAGACTACAAGGTTACAAGATTGCTCGACTCCTGCAAATCTATCTCTCTTTCAGGGTCTGTGTTTTGTTTGTTTCTTGATTTCTGTGTTTTGCAAAGGTAAAAGACTGACTTTGGCTGAGACCCAGAAGAACACCAAGGTACTTTCTTAACAGCACTCAAAAGTGGTGTTGAATTTGAGTTAAAGACTGTACTATGTATACTGCCTGCCTTTTTTCCTCTTGTGGGTTCTTTGGCCCTTGATCCCACTTTCAATGCCTATGATATGAACCTGAATCAAGAAAGATTCTAAGCTGAAGCAAAGCTGGTTTTCTTTCTCTTCTTCTCATATTTACATGTCCTAGTATCATATCGTGACATTTGAAAAGCTGCTTTTTTTGGTTCCTGAATTGTATGTTAAGCAGGAGTTTGTATGATTATAGCTGTGTAAATGCAAGCTGTTGATTTGTTTTTTTTTTTTTTTTTCCTGAAATGTAAATTTTGTTGCTTTTTTGGGTTGAACTTACTTTGAAGGGAAAGCTGATCGTTCTTGGGTTTTATATTCTATTGAAGGACAAGCAACTTTGAAGTTTAAGCCAAGTTTAGAGGGTCTAAGAACTGCAGCAAGCGAAGCAATTCACAATTTAGAAGCGTTTAAATCTGGTTCAGGTATATTTTGTTATCAACAATTTAATTAAGCTGAGTCGAAAAGAAAGCAATTGGATATTAAATTGATCGAGGATGTATGGTATTGGTGGTTTTCAGGGATCCTCAAAAGAAGACATGAGTCTTTTGTATAGTCCTAATTTCAACTATTCAGATGGAGAAATGAGAAAGAGCCAAGAATTCATGGATTTAAATCCCTATCATTACCATCATCAACAACAACAAATCCAGCAAAATTCTGGTCTGATGCGTTATCGCTCTGCCCCAAGCTCATTCCTTGAGAGCCTTGTGAATGGTACAAGTGGCCATGGTAGTGGTGGTGGTGGCATGGGAAGCGAAGATTATCGCTATCTTCGATCTTCAAGCCCTGAGATGGATACCATGTTGGCAAGGTTTATGTCATCATGTACTGGTTCTGGTGATTCCAGTTCTCAAAATTTGCAAGAATTTGGAGAGAGACCAGCGATAAAGCAAGAAGGAGAAGATTCAGAAATGGTTTATCAAAGTTTACCAAGGCATAATTTGGTTAATGACAATTCAATGAGTGTTGTGAATTCTATGGATACAGCATTCGGTGTAATGAATTCCATGGCTTTAGAGAATTCTATGCAAGCAACAAATATTAGTACTGCAAATGGATCTAATCTTGCTAGGCAAAACAGCTCTCCAGCCGGACTTTTCTCCAACCTAGGCGTTGACAATGGTATGGCTCTTTCTTCTTTCTCTTATTTCAATTTTTGAAAATTAATGATTTTTTCTTTTATGAATATTAATTTAGAAAATGTAAAAAGAATTATGCTTTATGTCGATTTGTCCTCGTCAACTTCTGAAAAGATTTGCCTAAAATATTGATGCTGGTCTGTTGAATGGCGTTGAAAACATGCTGTATTCTTCTTGGAAATATGAAAAGGATTAAATTTTGGAAAAGGAGAATACAGTCGACTTTTTCTTCACTTTCTCAGTAATCGAACATATGCTGTATTCTTCTTGGATTTTGTTATACTTTCTGTGGCCGGAAAGTTCGAGGGATCTCAAAAGTTTTACTTTATGCAAGAGTTGACTTTTGAAATGTTTTGCCGTTCTTTTCTTCTCATTGAATTACTCATGATGTCGGTGAAAGAAATGGAAGACAGTGCAGAATTCTGAAACCAATTGGTCAATGCAAATGAATTTTGTTTAATCAGTCCATAAATCTTAATTTTGATAACAAATTAGTAGGTCTGCTTTTAATTTGGATATAGAATATGCTTCTTTTTAATCTTTAGTTCTATCTCTATGACTAATTAATTATCATATATACTTTCGTCTCTTCGAGATCCATTCATTGCTGAATAACTCTTAATGGTTAACACTTAACAGGCTTTGCTGTAATGAGAGATGCGTGTAGCTTCAGAGCCAGCAATGGTAAGAATGGAGAAGCTAGTCCATCAGCTAGTAGATTAAGAAGTCATGTGAGCTTCTTATCAGGGCAAAGGATCTTGCCTCAGATTGCAGAAATTGGAGAAGAATGCATTGGTGGGAATAGTCCAGAAGGCAATGTTGGTAAGAGAAAGTATATGTCCAACTTCAATACTGATTCTTGGGATGATGCTTCCCTGAGTGGTCTTAAAAGGTTGAGGGATAATGATGGGAACATGTTTTCTGGCCTAAACACACTGGACAATCAGGTATCAACTGCAGTTTGCATATTATTTGTAGCTCTACTTCATTGCTCATTCTGCTTATGCTTTGTGAAGATGTTAACGTTTTACTATAATTCTCCATCAGGATGGGAATTCTGGAAACCGTGTGTCTGGTTTGACTCACCACTTGAGCTTGCCTAAGACTGTTTCAGAAATGGCTACCGTCGAAAAGTTTTTGGATTTTCAAGGCAACTCTGTCCCATGTAAGATTCGAGCCAAAAGAGGTTTCGCTACTCACCCACGAAGCATAGCAGAGAGGGTATGCCCCTAATCGCAATTAGTTGATTTAGTCATGATATCATTGGCCTTTCCTTGTTATTCAGGAAACCCGTGAATCAACTGCTTACACTTTTCTTTGGTGTATATTTTCAGGTAAGAAGAACTCGGATTAGTGAAAGAATGAGAAAATTGCAAGAACTTTTCCCAAACATGGACAAGGTAGTTCTGACTCTAGATATGTCTTTCTCACACATTAATTCAATGACATTAGTGATGGATGCTAAACAATTTTCGATTTCTTCTTCGACAGCAAACAAACACAGCAGATATGTTAGATTTGGCAGTTGAGCACATTAAAGAACTACAGAAACAAGTCAAGGTAACATTCAAAAGATACTTGTCATCAAACAATTAAGTGCATATGATCTTTCAACTACCTCTATCTTCCTGTACCAAAAATTTCTCTTTTTTGTTCAGACCCTCACGGATACTAAAGCGAAGTGCACGTGTTCAAGTAAACAGAAGAAACATTCAAGCCCTTCAGCTTGATTTTAGTTTCTGTACAAATAGCAGTAGGAAAAATGGCAAAAGAAAAAACAAGCACATAGCTACTTAGTTTTGATGTACTGTAAAATAATATAGTATCAAAAGATCGTGAGCTTTCGGGATAAGTAGATACGCTTTTCTCTGTAATATTTTGTAGTGTTGATCTCATTTGCTACCGAAAGCAATACACTTTCAAAATGATCTATTTATAGCACATCTTCAGATTGTATTTTCATAGCTCTTGATTTATTGATTTGTTGGATATATACTTAGGTCCAGCTCATGAGTGGTCTTATTATAACTAATGTAAAAATTAAATAAGGAAATAATTAATTAGAAAAAAAGATTAAATAAAAAACAGTACTAGAATGAAAAAGGAAATAAAATTGAATGACTCTGTGTGGCGGCAGGATGTTAAAATAAAACAAAGAAATCTATGCTTTAGCAGTAGCCGAATGGTGTATATATATAAAAGGAATTGAGTTGTTTTATGTGCAATGCTGCCAGGAAAAAAGAAACAAAAAACGTTATTCACCTTGATTGTCACATAATGAAAGTAAGAATTTGTGGTATATTAAATAATGACATTTTTCTTCTATCATTGTTTTTTGATATTACAATCATAGAAAATTACAATACTTAAAGTGATTATCTCACATAAAATTGGGTTTTTGTAGATTTTAAGTTCTTGTAGTGAAACGAATTTAACTATAAATATAACTTATATTACGGTGAATATTTTTGTTTCTCAAATTCATTAAGAAACTTAATGATTGTGTTACTTTCTTGATCATAGTGAATTATTTTGAAGTTGGTCTCGTGATTCTTTTCCTTTACAATAGAGAAAGTTTTCGACGTTAATTTGATATTTTTGTAATTGTATTCTTATGATTAGTTTATTTTATGTTCTTGATTTCTGAATGTGTTTGACTTGATTATTTTCTCACTTAATCTAATTTACACAAAGTGAAATTAAATTTTCAATAATGATATCGGAACTTTCGTTGAAATATTTATGTAAATTACTTAAAGAAAAATTATGATCAAGCTGGCATCTTCGAATTATTCAATTTGGAAGTCGATAATATAAAGATTTACTTTATTACCATGATTTGTTAGATCCAATTGAATTAGGTAAAACCAAATCAACTATCAAGAATGATGATTCTTGAAAAACAAATGCATATAAAAGCTATTTTAGCTATTAGATAGTGAGTGAACGAGTAGCGTGTTTCACTGCTTATCCCAAAAGACAAATGCCCTAAAACTATGAAAAAAATTAGAAAGTATGTATAAAAGAAAGACCGCACAGAATAAAACTTTTTTTTATTATGAAGCTTGTGAAATTAAAATAACCAGATGAAAGATCTAATATTGAACACTTGAGTGACTTTTACGATTTTTGATTAATCGGTTAAATAATTGTTAAAATATTGCTAGATAATGAATTGCTAGCATTGTTTCTTTTGGGGATTTTGCAAGACAATTGAGAAATGGTTATGATACATGATAATTTTACTTTGAATGGTGTTTTGTCATTATTTACAATGAAAGATAATTTGTTCAATGAAAAAATAAAATGAAGTAAAGTGATAGAATATAGAGCACAAGCTCTTGTCATAAAAAGCGAGGGGAGGAGTAGGAATAAAGAATATAGTGAATACGGTAAATCCAAAAATAGATAATTATCTAGTTGTAGTTTTAAATGTTCACTCTAGAAGAGAAAATCACATCAAAAGAAATTGTAGGCATGAAAAAAAAAAAAAAAAAACAAGAAGATTTGAAAAATCAAGTTGAAAATAAAGAAAGCACTACTATAGTTTTAATTTTAGATTGGAATGTGACGATACTCTCATATAGAGAGTGTAATGTTGCAAATTCTTATTTTTTGAGTAGGTTGTTGACTTAATGGCTTTGAAGTAGAAGATTTTGGCAAAGCAAAGATTACAATGATAGTGATGCTAGTGTTCTTAGAGTTGATGGTGTATGTATAAAGTCATGTATATGTTATATATTGATTTTGAAGAATGTGTTGTATATATTGGATTTACACGTGAACTTGATTTCTACTCATATCTTGAATACTTGTTGGATAGTAACAATTATTTTGGTAGTAAAAATAAAAATTCACCAAGAGATCAATGATTGTTATTAGATGTAATGTTTGTAATAAACTATATAGAAAAAAAGTATATTTGATCAGCCTTGAGAATAATAGAGTTAGATATAAAACTTTTCCAATATTATGGTCTAGACTACCAGCTCAAGTGAATGAAAAAAGAATTGACAAAAAAATTTTGTGTTATTTTTGTCAAGAAGATTGCCACATATACGAGATTATTGAATGGAGCATATGAAATTGATATTGATCAATAATTAATAATGATGATGATATAGATACATGGAGTGTTGAGCGGGAGGAGTAGGATCCTCCATTTTAGAGTATGATCCTCCATTTCAGAATATAGAGCTTTAAGTAAGTAGATCTACTGGTCGGTGTCATTTTTTTTACCAAGAATTTTATTTTTAATAATGTTTTATTCATAGACGAGAAAGAGCTAAATAACTTTTGTAATATTCTAACTTATGATAAAGTTTAAGAATCAAAATTTAATGATTGGCGTAGTCATTAACTTTGTTGGTTAATGAAAAAATAATTGATGATACTAAAAATGATTATTGAAGATAAAAATCTTGTCGATATGTTGATAAAATTAATTACTCGCGAGAAGAATGAATTGTGTGTTAGTATAGTTGTTATGAACTCTCTATGATGAATTAAGATTTTTTTTCCTTATAGATTGGAGGAGAAATGTATTGGGTATATGCTTAAAGTTCAACCAATGAGTGACCTTAGCATAACTCATGAACAAGAATTAAATAGAAAAGAATTAATTAAAAAAAGTATTAGAATGAAAAAAGAAATAAAATCGAAGGACTATTGTGGGGCGGAGTGTTAAAATAAAACAAAGGCATCTTTGTTTTAGCAGTAGCCGAATGGTGTACGTATAGAAGGAACTGAATTCTTTTATATGTAGTGCTGCCACGGATAGCACTGCGAGAAAAAAGAAAAAAAATATATTTTTTATTTGATTGCTATAGGAAAAAAATAAGGATTTTTGTAACACTAAATATTGAGATTTTTTTTTACTATTTTTTTTTTGGATAATGCAGTCACATAAAATTGCAGTATTTAAAATGATAATTTCAAACAGTATTGAATTTGTAGAAACACAAAAATTTCATGAATTTCAGATTTTTTTGGTGAAACGAATTTAGTTAAAAATATAATTTTTATTACTGTTAATATTTTTACTTCTTAAATTCAGAAAAATTTAAGTAATTGTATTATTTTTTTTATTATAATAGATTTTTAAACTTAGTTGTGTGGTTTTTTTTTTTAATCGTTCCTTGTAAATTTAATGTTTTTGTGATTGATTTATTTTTTATTCTTAATTATTGTGTGATTGTTTGAATTAATTTTTTTTTATAATCTAACATAAACGGAATGAGATTGAATCCCCAAAATGATCTGTTGAGCTGGGCCTTTGTTTTTGCGTGATCTCTTAATTTCTTAGAACAAAATGCCAGTAAAGTTGCATTTGCACGTACAACTCTGCTTGTCACACTTCTTTTAGCGTTCAAACTACGGTCAAATTTGGTATTCTTCTGAGCACAAACATTGTTTCTTAATCTAAGATCTTCCATTTTGTTATGTGATTTGTTAAACCGAAATTCTGTATACAAGGTTGAGCCTGCAAGTTCTGATACTAATGTTTAAGCATTTCAATTAGCGGTCAACGCTTTGAACATCAAACATAACAGAAAAAAATTAAAATTAATTTTCAAAAATTATCTAATTATTAATTTTTGAGTTAATTTTATTTTTTTCTATCATGTTTGGCGTTCAAAGTATTGACCGCTAATTGAAATGCTTAGAATAATAACGTTTTAAGCATTTTAGTGTTTATTTTATAATTAAATTAACAATTTAGTTTTTTTTTTTTTTTACTAGATGGATCAATTACATATCATTAATTATCTAACAAAAAAAAAATCAGATTTGTAAACAACAAAATCATATGAGCTTTGTTAAAGCTAATTATTATTAAATATTTTTTTAAAATTAATTTAATTCTTAAAAGATTTTTTTTTGAAAAAAATTAATAATTTCATAAAAAAATTTACTAGATGAATCTATTACACATCATTAATTATCCAACAATAAAAATGAGATCCATAAACAATAAAATCATCAAAGTTTTCTTAAAACTAATAATTATTAAATATTTTTGTTCAAAATTAATTTTAATTATAAAAAAAAAAGTTTAGACGACCTTGTTTTAAATATTTCAGTCAACAATCAACACTTTGACAATCATAAATAATTAAAAAAATAAAATTTATTCAAAAATTCATAGTTTGAGACCCAAATAGTTTAAATTGATAACAAAAATCTTATTTTACCATTACGCCCACTACTCCAATAATTTAAGTGTAAATTATAATGTTAAACCTTTTAAAATTAGACAAAGCAAATTTGAAACCTACAATTTTTTTGAATTTTAACTTTACAATAACAATTATAATTTTTCGTTTTTGATCATTCATTCAAGAGAAAAATACGAACGTCAAAATTTCTTATAATTAAGATGGGAGTTTCATTAACAGAGAAAACGAGTAAAGAGTTATGCTCAAGTTTTATAAGTAGATGTGGCATTCTAAATAAGCAAGGGTTGCTCTTAAAAATTATTATAATTATAAATGCTTAAGAATAGTAGTTTTCATTCGATAAATAAGCATACAAATGCCTGACTCGGGCTTGTTCACACAAAAAGAGTATGAAAGTAACAAGAAAATTGCATTTACGAAGGATCAAAATTCAAATCTAATGACAAAAGTATAACGAAGCCCACACATAGCTATTGGCCCAAGACGCATGGGCCTGAAAACAATTACTTGTACATCTTAGGAATTGTTCTCATCTTGCAATTTCTCTCCAATCTTCCATGAGTGTTGGGATGCCCTAAAGGAACAATCTGTATGTATTATGTTAAGTAAATCTATACTACACTTTGGTTTTTTTTTTTTTTTCCTACAGAAAGAAATAATTATGAATCTTTTTGGTGAACTGAAATCCAAATCATTGATTGTAAAATCAATGATATAAATTTACTGAATATAATAGATTAAGTAAATTCCATCTATTCGAAAATACTTAGTTTCTTGGATAGAACTAGCAGGGTCACAAATGAGCAGTTGTTCCGAAGGAATTTCAGAAAGATGCTCCCCTTTTTTTCGAGAACCTCAAAGGCTTCACCAATCCTAAAATGGGTCCAATAGTGAACAATTTAGTCCAAGATTCAAGCAATACCCATATACCTAAAGAAGTTTCCATCTCTCCTGCATCTGGTCTGCTAAAAGAACCATAGCTATAGACTGGTTATAAAAAAAAGTCTCCAAATTACATAGTGGACAATGGATCACATAGCTGGTCCATTAATTCAGTTTCTTTTCTTATTTATTAAGAAAATATTCTACCTATATTATTAAAAAATTACTCAATCCATATCTGATTTATCCTCATTTAATATCTATTTAATACATGTTAAAAATAATTTATCAAAATATTTTATTTATGCAAAGCTATTTTAGTACTTAACATTATTTTTTTATAATTTAGTCTTTTATTTATAAATTATTTGGTCCTTAATGTTTTCATAAAAAAAGTATTGCAGTTCTTATTTTATAAAATTTATGCAATAAGGTTCTTATATATATTGTTTTTGAAATATGTTAGTGAGTAATAGTGAGGTAAAAAGTGAATATCCATTTTTTAAAATTATATTCATAAATATGTATTTCTTTTATATTTATCTATCTTAATATTCATTGAGCATTTCTAATAGATATTTATTAATCAAATGGAAAAGATATTGCTTGATACCTGACCTATTCCTATATTCTTAATCGCGGATGTCCATAATGCTATCATATGACAAGGGTGTTAGTTTCAATGTTTCATTGCTCAAATCAAATGAAACAATTAGATGACCACCACCATTATAAGATCCCCACCAATGGCATAAACCAACCGTCTTGGCCGAAATTATGGCAAGATCAAGAATAGAGAAGGGTAATTGAGGTCCGATTTTATTGGCATTTTCGGCCTCGAATATATATATATATATATACACTCCATCAAATCAGCATTTCGGTAGTCTTCAACATCATTTTGGTCAAGAAGTCATGGACAGTAAAGTGATAGTAATTGTGAATATCTTGTGATAATTGGATTTCGGATCAAAACCAAATCCCCAAATCCAAATGTCGGCCGAGTTTGTGCATGTGGTATCATCAATTAAACGGGGAAAGCTGAACTCTGGGACAACCTTTGTTTCATTGGTTGCAGGGTTCCATAGAACAATACCACAAGAAGCATAATCACGAAGACGAATCAAACCGTTACAGCAAGAACCCACAATTTCAATATCTGCGCAGTTTCTATCGATGCCGACAGAATATTTAACAGGATATTTAGTTCGGCGTTGGACGAGGAGTGTCCACATAAATAGTCATCAGAACACGTCCACAAAGAAGAAAGTTCTCGTAAATAAAATTTGGGCTAGAAAAGAGAGGGCACCAAGATTAAAAGGTCAAGCTTCTGGACACGTGGGTATTCATGATTGGCTAGATGATACAATCCGTGTTGCCAGGGAAGTTTGGAATGGATAGAAAGTAAAACAACGTCGTTTTTGTTGATCTTCTAAAAATCCATTTATTATTACTAAGGAGGGCTTCCCTTCACTTTCCCTGTCATAGCTGCAGCGCTCTCATCTCTTTCTTTTGCCGCCGTACTGGCTCTTTTTTCCCTCAAAACGTATCGTATCGACTTTCCATCTTTCTCCCAATGAAGAAACATTTAGTAATCTGAAATGTGCATGAAACGGTTTAAAAGGGAGGGAAGGATGGATGGATGCTCCTTTTTTTTCTTACCCAGAAGAAAAGGTTGAGGAACCACCCAACCCTTTCATGGGTTTCATGTACCTGCAGGTGGATACTAGGCGTTTTTGCTGAGGGATGGATCTCACTCTTTTTTTCATTTTTGTGGTGGAACGAAGTTTTATGATCTCATTTTTTAAAATTTAACTTTTTAATAGATCCAAATGGCTTCTTTTTTCTTTGAAATTTTGATTTCAAAATCGAATTGGGAATTTTTTAAATTTTATTGATGCTTTAAAAATTGTTTAATTACTATTGTATAAGGGATCCGCAATAAATCTATAGAAATTATATAATTTATTTCGCGAAACGTAAAATTTTCTTGATTAGTCTGATCAAAATATTTGAAGAAAACTGAAATAATTAGTCACTCTGGTGCCCTAACAATTGACATTTTTTAACATTTGATTTTCAAATTCACTGGTCCGGTACCATATATATATAAAATCTGATGGCATGCTATTGAGCTACAGCTCATTGGCCATTCTGTTGAGTTGAGATGACTTGGTGAGCTTGGGTTTTCTGGGAACCAAGTTACTGTAATTTACTTATGAATTAAGAGTCATGCTGGTTCTGGGCTAGGTACTAAAGGAGAGGAAGAACCCTGTCTACAAGGACTTATATTTAAATTGTTGGTACGGTAACAGGTTTTGCAGCTGTTCCCTAGATGTGCATAGTCAATACTCGAAAAAAAGTAATCGTTTCTGCAATCACTGGATCAAGTGACAGGGTGGTGCAGATTCTTTGATCTCCTGCATTGTTTATCCGTGTACTCTGGTTCTGAAAAAACCATCCAAGCGATGCATAAGTCTTTGCTTTTGACTGAAACTAATTAACTAATCAACTTGGTATCCACTTTTTTAAGAATAACTTTCTATATGGTAAATGTCACTTTATTTTTTAATGCATGTCTGTGGTGTATGCTTCAAATGTACTATTTTTATAAGCCGACCAGTGGGCTAATCCAGAAAATGTCTATCCAGCTTCTTGGTCATTGCAAATTTCCCTTTTCAAGATTTTGTTTTTTTTCAACGACCATATAATAATCACACTATACGTATGCTGATTTTTAATTTTTTTTAATCGAATACATAAATTTTTAATTTTTTTATTAGAGTATATCAATTTTTTTTTAAATTACTAACCGAATACTTCTTCTGTCATTTTTTCTGTTAAGATGATATGTATCATACTTTTAAAATATTATATTATAATTTTACTATTTTTCTCATTAAATACCATATTATAATTTTATTATTTTTCTTATTTGAGTATATGAATTTTAATTTTATTTTATTTGAGTACATCAATTTTTTTAAAACTACCAATCAAATATTTTTATTATTTCGTTAATTGAAAACGTATTCAAACATGAAATTATAATTTTAACTTTTTTTTCATTGAAAAAAACTTTCTTTTCAAATTATTTTATTATTTTGTAATTTGACAAATAATTAAAAAAATTATTAGTTTGCTATTAAAAAAAACTCAGTTAAATTTAAAACTAAAAAAAATTGAAAAAACAAACACACACACACACACATAAATCTTGTTAGTAAAAAATCTCAAGTTTGTGTTTTTTTTTTTTTTTAATTTTCACGTTCAAAACCTAACTATTTTTTTTTTTTAACAGCAAGTCTTGTTAGGTTTAGATCGAAATTTTATAATTAAAAATAATTTTTTAAAATTTTTTTATCAAATTTTAAAATGATAGAATAATTTATAGATAAATTTTCTTACAATAAAAGATGAAAAAGAAGAGATTGACGAAAGTATTTGATTGATATACTAAAAAAATTGATACACTCAATCTGAAAAAATTAAAATTCAAATATTCTATTGAGGAAAAAAAAGGCAAAATTATAATTTTATAATTACATCATTAGTAATGGAAAAATTGATAAAAAATATTTGATTGACATTTTTAAAAAAATTGATATATTCAAATAAAAAAATAAAATAAAATTTATATATTTAATTGAGAAAAATTAAAAATGAATATATTTATACCTGATTATCCATAGGATAGTTTTTCTCCATTCCTAAATCCCGCTTGGTTGGTACTGTTGCCGCACAGGTTGAATCATGTCTGACTAATGATGTAAATTGAGTGGACGTGCAAGGAAGCCGCTGGTGCTTAATTAACAAATCGAGATCTTTCTCTAATCATGTGATTGTAAATTCGCCAAAAAGCTTGCTTTCTTAAGTTTTTTAATCGCCAAATAACCATGGGACTTGCAAAACTGCATATGGATGAACACTATCATTGATAGGAATGCCGTAATGAACTTGAATTCAACAGAGGTAAACAACCATATCATTCGCTGAAGAAATTGGTATTGATATCTAACATGGGCACTGAATAATCATACATAACCATTGGAATTGTTTATTGATTGACAAAGGTGTAGAGTTTAGGTTTTATAGGTTTATTTTATTTTATTTATTTGTTTATTATTATTATTATTATTATTATTATTGGTGAATACAGTATAAATGGCAGCACAACAGGTAATAGCTGTAATGGAAATTCCTCTTGCTTTCGGTTCTGTGTCTGATTCTACCACCATCTCTCATGCCAAAATGATATAGTCTATTCTTCCTGTTGAGCAATTACAGTTTTGACTGTTCTTGAAGTTGTTCCTGTTCAACATTGGATAAAGTTTGGTTAGAGGCACAGCTCAGAAAATAAAATCAGCGGCTCACAATAAACTTGTTAACTTGCATCTGTACAGAAAATGTATTATCATGCAATAGCTGTATGGTATAATGGATGAACCGAGACAGGGAGACAGGTAGCAGGGAATAATAGGATGGGTAATCTCTGAAAAACATCTGGTATGTGCAAAAAAAAAAAAAAAAACCTAAGCGATATTCACTCTGGAAATAAAATACGCTCCTCGCTGGATGACTGCAGAATTTCACACAGAAATTTCGCTTGCAAAGAATAGCTGGATAATCTTCTTTACAATCCATTTCATCAAAAGACCAAATTCTCACTAGTGACTCGTCAGCTACAATTCAGCGGGGCATAAGGTGTTATTCCAAGTGACAGGCGACTACAACTCTAACCCTTCCTTGATGCACAACTCAAAGTAGGAGTAAGGACTGCCTTAAATCTCTAGGAATACAATAATGCAGCTAGTCTTTGCAGCAAAAGCAATGAGCTCATAGCTCAATGGTATTCTTGCATAAGCAAGAAGGGTTAGGCCATAAGTTGGATCACATTAATAAAAAAAAAAAAATGCCAGTCTTCGTTGCAGATGTCACATCAGCTGAGATGGCTTTCTGTTATCTTGTCGTCATGAAATGGCACTGACTCTAGCTTCTTGCAAATACTCCATCCGTTTATGTATGATTATCCATTTCAAAGAATACCTAAACAATTGCTTGGTTTCCAAAGTGTTCAACTCAATCTCCACATCTTAAGAATCAAATCAATACCTGTTATTGTTGGCTATTATTTTGTCATCAATTTTTTGGTGCTTACTGCTTCCTAACTTCAGTCGATTGATTTTCAATGGTGCTTATTTTGTGGGTGGGGATTAAAATGGCATCACTCCACAACTCTCTGAAAATTCCTCCTACCCCTCACCAAAAAACAACTTCTAGTACAAGGAAGTCCAAACATGAATCGAGTTTAAGGATTAAAATCGAACTAAATCCAGAAGTAACATTACACTCACCTCTGACACAAAGAAGGCATGGAACCCATATGGAACTCTGTGTGGTAACTCAACAACTGCAACAGGATCTGCTGACATGGTTTTTGCATCAATTACATTCACTGATGATTTTCTGCGTATTAAAAATGAAAAGTTATTTCCTAAATATAACCATGAGCATGCAAACCACCTCGTCCTCAATGCCCCTCAGAAAGAACAAGAGACAGAAAATTCAAAGGGAAAGAGAAAGCCCGGTGTTCCTTGGTGGGGCATATAGTCAAAATTTTGGAATATTAGAGCAGTCGAGGTCACTTGATAAATTGGATGCGTGGATGGAAATTAAAAAAAAAATCAAGAAAAAGATAAACCAATAGGTGTTGACAGATTTACAAATTGAGGTAAAAGGAGGCTTAATTAAAAAGGGAAGCAATTACCCAGTACTTTCATCGTGTGCAAAGAATATCAGGTAGCCATCATCTTCCTCGGAAGTGGTGCCTGGCTCACGAGGGACAAATACAGCCTCTGAACCAAATCTACCCGGACCAAGGTCAAATATGCCTTTGACATTTCCTCCAACTTCAATCTTTCCTTTTCCTGGCTCAGGCTCTGCATGCAGATCGAATTTGACAACCCCTGTAACCTTTGCAATGCTGTCCAGAATGGTCCCGTAGACATATCTTTGTTTCCTGAATTCACATAAGACAATCATCAGATAAAAATGATTGTAAAAAGACATAATTCACTCAACACCACAAATAAAATAAGAAACAGCGAAATGAACTCAAGCCAAAGACCAACAACGTTATTGAGACAACTGCTGCTCAGAGTAGATGCACACCTGCCAGTGTAACTCTCATTCACTCTGGGAAAATCAACAGCAGATTCAGATAGTTTCTTTTGTGAAGCTACACCAGTTTTCATATTGAATCTCATCTCATACCTGCTCAGAAAGGAGGAAAAAAAGGCCATCAGAAACTATAAAAATAAACTATTATAAAATTCAAAGGAGCGTGTCATATTTCTCCTACAGCTCATTTGTAAAATTCTCAAGCTTTTCTTTGACCTCCCCATTGATCATGTCCAAATCTGGATTTTGAAGGCGGCAAGTGATTAAAACAATTTCATCCTCCTCCTCCCAGGCATTGGCTAGTAAAAGTAAGCAAATAAAGTTAGAATGGACTCATGAAGACAGGACAAAATCTAGCATCTTATTCATGAGCCCATAGAAGCCTGTGCATATTTGAAATTCCTCTAAAATATATCAGTGAAATACGACAACAGATTATTTCATCCAAAAATAATGTCTACTTTTTTTCTCAGTACAAATCTCTAAAGAGAAGCCAGACTATCAGTTTATGAACAGAAATCTGCCAAGCCAGAGACTTTCCAAGGCTAAAGAAGAACCTGAAAGACAGTCTACTGCAGTTTCTATATATTTGTTTACATCACTTTGACTTATTGATTTATGTCTTCCAAATTTGATTGTTGACATATGCATGTTAATTGCCAAAGATGACAATTTTCGAAAGCCATGCATGGAAAATTTGACCACAAATTTTGTGTGAGGGTGCATAGAAAAATTGGCAGGCAGATTTGGTTAGGCAGTTCCAGCAAATTGGACTATGAAGCTTGATGTAAGCTATGATATGCATGATCAACTTCCTAGCCAATACCAGAAACCAGGATAAAGCATATAACCTAAAGATATGCTAGCTAAGTGTGTTCATATTACAGATTTATCAACTCGGAGGATATTGTTTTGGGTATTTTAATAGACATGGGAAAGGTTGTACTATTAACTCAGAGGATGACATTTTGGCATTTTAATACACATGGGAAAGAAAATAACGCACCATTGTGGAATATGAAGCAATTTGGAAGCTCAAACCATTTGATTAGGAGGTCATCCTTTGCATATCGTGGAAGGACACCAAAACGAGCTTTTTTTGTTGCATCAAACGTGAATATGAGCTTCTTTTCTTTCACCATATCCTGAAAAGTTGTCAAGGAAAATATTCAAGGTTGATTTCATACCATGAATGAGATCTAGATCATAAATTCAAATACTAATGTGACTTTTCATGCAAGTTACATGAGGCTGCTTTTTGCTGTCAAGAAAGTTTTGTTAGAATCAAATTCTGGGAGAAAGCAAAGTGAGAGTAAAGGAAACTGATTTTCATGCATGTTTCGTCCAGAATTTGGAAGAAGAGTTTGCAGGAAAACAACCATAACTATCTTATACTGCATTTCCACATGCAAATATTGGACGTGCTCTGAGCGGCATTTTCTAGCTACAAATTAGCTACTTGTTGGTTGCACTTATTTTTCTTACAAACAGATCAACTGAAATGAGGGACCAGGTTACTTTCCTTTTCCTTAAAATAAAAGTGCTGGAGATTAAAATCAAAACAGTATAATTAACCCATGCATAGCATTAAACTTTGCCGTTGCTTAGACTAGGTTACAATTACCACAAACTCTACTTGTTAAGTGTTTTTTGAAATTACTGGTCCAATATGCTTTCTATTTAGAGTCATTTGTCTTTAAGTAGAAGATTATTCATGACGGCCTGACACTTAACTGATTTAATAACCTGTGAAACCTTTTACACCTAAAAACTGCCCCTCCACGCTCCCAACCAAAAAAAGGACAGCAAAAGAAGCAGCTACTCTAAGACACGCAATATTACTAGGACCCGTACAAAAACTTTACCTGATTGGATTGTGAAGAATTATACATGCGTATGCAGGCATTCATACAAATTGTTCACATCCTCAAAATCAATGATTCCTTCATCTCCCCCCCCCCCCACAAAAAAACTATCAACCGATTGAATAAGCTAGTGTTGCTTTCTGAAGAGAAGTGTAAAATATGAGCAGAAAACATAAAATACGGACCTTTAAATCTCAAGTTCATAATTACATGCATGCATAACATATCATGCTGAACCTTGTAAACAGTTCATTCATTTGTTTTATAAGCATTGTAAACTGTGTCCAGAAACCACAATAACTCAGAAATTATTGTACCTTTGGTCGGAAGTACAAAGGAAGATCCATAAAAACTGCATAGTTCTCCGTTATTGCAAAGTCATGCATCATTATAGGGTCTGATATTGTTATCGGTACAGGGTCATGCATGACACCATCCTTTGAAATGACTCTGTATGTCACATATGGTGGTTCATGTGAATAGCCAAAGGTAAACATCTCTCCTGCAAGAAGGGATTTTTGAATGTCAAAATGTTCCACTTCAGTAAAACTATTTGCCAAGGCATCCTTTAATGCAGATGGACATTACCAGTGAATGGATCCACCTTTGGATGAGCAGTGAAAGAATGTTTTAGTCTTTTGTCATAATCCAACAGGCCGATAGTTTGCAGATCTCCATCTTCCATAACTTTAACCACATCTGCAAGATTCAAAGGGCATCATTCCAGTTCTCCACAAAATGACCGCAAAAGAGCACCAAACATCTCACCCACTTAGGAAATTCTCCAATATTCTCAAAAGAAAGATAAAGAGAAACGATGAGCTTACAGGGTTTATCAGCCTCTTGAAGTGCTAAAAGATTTCCATGGTGATAAATGAGATTTGTATTACCTGGAAGAGGGTTGCCGACAATTAGTTTCTTCTAACACTCAATTTTATAAGGATGCTGAATAATGTGAAAAGCAACTAAGAAATATATATATGGATGGCATCTCCAGATCAAACTTTATAGCTAACCAAAAGAAACCAACTTACCTGTCCCATTTCCATATGACATGTCCAATACTTTTGTTTTTGCTCGAAGCATTTGCATGTTAACCATAAGTAATCCAAACAGCCCCTTAAGGTCTCCAACCTTGAAATGGCAGGTCAAAGAACAAAAGAAACTTATTCAAGAGAAAATATTCAGCACATAGTTCAAAACTCTCTATTGGCCTGCAAAACTACAAGAGGTATGAGAGCATTGAGACCTGAGAGCATCAAGCAACGTCAGAGATTCAAAATTAACCCAAGGCTCTTAACTTTGCAGTGAGATTGCAATATGTACCATATAAAATTCAAATCTGCTGTTTTCTCAGGAATGATTCATAAAATGATTATTGCCACGTTACTATATGAAGTATAAAGACAAGACAAAGGAAAACATTCATATAATAACATCTACAGGTCGCACTCCATAGTGAGTATTCCAACCAGCCATATAGCTTTCTTTTGAGTGAATGTGTCAAATAAAGAATCAACCCCTTTAACTGAAAATTCTTCCGACTCGAAGTTTTAACTGGTAGAATGAGACTGAAATTGTGATTAAAAAAGAAAGCATGAGAGCATAATCATAATTAAAGATGAATTATTAAAGTCTCTTTCAGACTGATCAAAGAAACTTAAACTTGGCTATTTCTTATACTTGAAGCATGCAGAGACAAAACAGAAAACTTTAAACATGAATACTGTTAGGGATTCCAATTGCGGCAAATGGAGCATCACTCGCAGTATTTATGTGAAGAATAACTCGTACTCTAACTGAGAAAAGAAGGAGGGCATTAGATAATTTCCATGCCCTTAATGCAGTAGATCTGAAATCATTCTCTTAATGTCACATCAACTATTTGAATCTTTAGAGCTGGATAACAGAATCATCATAGCTTTGTACATAAACTTAAACTGATCCCCCATAAAAGTCACAAAATAATTCTATTTTAAAAGAAACAGATTCCTTTTCAGATAGTTCAGCACTGTACCTTCATAAATTTGGCACCTCCAAAAAACTCTTCTTGTTTAAGTCGTGATGTCCTCACAAAACGACGCACATATGCTGCCTTTCCATCTTTAATGCGCATACCATGAATCATTCTGCAAATACATGTGACAAAAAATATTTGAAGTCATAATTGACTTGGTAAGTGAATAAAGAAAATCCTGATGGAATGAAAGCAACATATAACCCTCGGAATCTAAACAATTATGAAGGAAGAAAAAGGTGCCTGAAAGAAAATGGAAATAACCACCTATATATAATGCTAAAGAAAACAGATTACCGTGAATAATTATGCAAGAACATTATGTTTATGCATGGGCATTCCAATAGTCTAATCACAAATTCACAAACAACAGATCTACCACAACCATCTCAAAATAGATGTACCGCATAAGTTGATGTCCATGACAGGAACAGCAATCAGGTTATGAAGAGTTCTTGCATAGAAAAACTATTGTGTTCTTTCCTGTATATGCATCAGAAGAAAATAAAAATTTTGCAAAACATTACGGATGAAACAAATTATCTGGTACATGAAAACTTCTCAATTGCAAAATGTTGCCAGCATGTCTTGCCTACAGAATTTTAACTTTAATTGTATTACGATGCTTATGTTCAAATCTACTCTATATCCATTTTCGGTTTCTTACCACCTGATAGAATTTGCATAACCTATATGTATCAGTTAAACAAACATCAAGGGGTCATTGAATGACTTCATTGAAACTTTTAACATTCTCTACACATTGACTCTAATAACTTCAATGTTGAATATCAAGGCACGCATAAAAATCCACATATCTACGAGTGCTCCAATTGAAACCATTTGAAGTAAAAAAGACGCAAACAGTATCAACAAGCCTAGGCAGACAAGAAAAGGTAAAACAGAAAGTGCCGTGCACTTCATAACATTCCACTGCCACCATAAATTCAGTGTTTTAAAAATTATGGTTAGGCATGCATTTGATTGATTGTGCTTAATAGTAAAACGAGCACCCCAGAACATAAGATGTTAAAAACCATCACATCATAGAAACTGGGATGTAAATTGGAGAGAAAACTGAAGGAAAAAACAAAATCAGCAATGTATAAATGCAACATACCCATCTCCATCAAACCTGCACAAACATAAAAAAAAAAAGAAAAAGAAATTAGCACAAATTTTCTACCGACTAACCACTACAGTCTCATTTACAATGACAAACATTTTCAAGATGTTATCACAAATAACTACAACATACCAATGGTATCCAGCCACAGGTGCAAACTTTGGGTTAGGACCTACCCTCACAAATTCCCCATTCAAGCAATCCTAAAAGAAAGAAAAATCAGTCAAATGTCACATTTCGTGTCATTTCAAATTTATTGCCTAAAAAATTAATGTACACATTCAAACTACACAAATATGGTTTATTTTTCTGCAATTGATTTAGGATTATACAATAAAAAAACTAATTAATACTAATAATTATTCTGTTAAACTAAACATTTTCATGACTGATTGTTTTTGTTGTACTGTACTTGTTCTACTATGACTACTCATCACAGTCTAATTTTCTAATAGAATTTAAGTCAACTCCAGGGGTCGTCCAACATCTCTTAATCTTGTTTCTGATTAATTAATTAATTAGTCAATGATCACGAAATTTCAAGCACAACAGTACGTAACGAAGGATTTGTAAACAACTCCTCGTTGTGACAATTCAAACTTCATAAGGACAAAATGGAGACAAATTATTGACCGATTAAGGAATACATCAGCAGAATAATTTATTACTGCTTGATATTATCAAATGAATAAAACAATATTGTACTCCTTACAGGGAGGTGGCCTTTTACAGAGAGGTCTTTAACAGGAGCAGTTTCATCAGGAACCGGAGCGAAGTTACCAGAGAGATAGTGGTGAGGTTGAGAGGTATCATACATTAATTTCACAATCAGCTTTTCCAAGTAGTCGATAGCTTTTGAAGTCAGCCCTTTTTGTGGCTTTGGATTCACTTCCACCACTGTGCTTCCAGCTCCGACGCCGTTCTCTTGCTTTTTCTTCAACTCTGATTTATCCGCCATTTTGCTCTCTCTCTACTCTTTAGCGGAGTTGGCACTAACAATGTTATAGAATAGCAACAAGAGCTTCCGTTGCCTGTTAAATTAGGCGTTGCAGATTTTTTTTTTTTTTTTTTGGCGTAGCGAAGGGTTTGTTTTTTTCCAAATATTTTGTGATGCCACAGCTGACACGTGTTTGTTTGCTGATGGGAGGGGGCAATCGGAATCGGAACTTTTTGTTTGTTTGTACAAAATTGATGCTGGATGGCTGAGGAATAATTTTCAAGAAATGTACGTGCTTTCCGTGATCGTCGGTACTTGAACCCTTTTTTTTTTTGGTCGATGTGGAGTAAATTAAATTGGCATGAAGGATCAAATAATAACTTACCTTTCTTTTCTCTTAACAAGTACTAGTAAGTATAGTTAGTAATTTTTTGGTCATTAATGACGGATAGAATAGTATTCCAATTAGTAAATGGGTTTACTCCTTCTGTTAAATGGTTTCAAGACATACTCTAAAAAAATAAATAGTTCAAATATAAACTATTTGTTTAATTAGATATTGTGTGCAATAAATGTCCTGTTTAATTAATTTTTTATTATCCGTTGGTTTTTTAGATATAAAATCTCTCCATTATTTAAATTAGTAATAAAATATATAATTTTTTTATTGTTTATTAAACTATTTTTTAGATCAAACTAATCTAAATACAGTAACACAATACATATAAAAACTTGCATAAATATATATTTAATTGTAAATATATATAAGAGAGAGAGAGAGAGAGATATAGCGTGTAAAAACGGGCAAATATGCACACTTAATTGCTTCTGAGAAAAAGAAAAAGAAAAGCGATGCTCCGACAATGGTCAACGGGTCAACCGCCAGCGAATCCCTACTTAGAAATTAGAATATCTACTCACCCATAAAGCATAGAATGACGGCAGTTTTTTACTGAGTCGTAAAAATCACTGATAGTCTTTCAGCACAATGGCGGCAGTTTTTTTTTTACTGGGTCTTGTTTATGCAAAAGAGAGGGAAATGCATAAATTCTAAACCATACAAATTTTTTGGTTGCTCTCGCTTAATTTTTCTTTGTTTGTTGAAAAAAAGAACCTACAAGTCGTTTTTTAAGCTTGTTTATGTGACATTACGATATTCCTTGTCGTCACCTCAGACCGATGCCTATTCGTTCAACGCAATTGCTATCTAGTCGGGCCACAACTTCCAGTGGGATAGAACATACATCAGAAAGAGTTGGGGTTCGTTGCTCTCATGAGTCATGGCCATACTTAGAATCCGAATCCGATTTTTTAATATAGCCTGTTAAGATGCGTTTGGTAGGAAAATTATTTTTTTTTAAATAGATTTTTAGTTGAGAGGGTAATAATTACCTTCCCTAACTCCATAGGCTAAATAGGGACAACGATTAATTATTTTTTGCTCCATGTTGCAAACACAAAAAGCAGACACTAATTTTATTATTTTTGGTTTTATTCCCTTGAAGAAAACTGCTAGAATTCAATACAACGAAAATTTATTTAAAGCCAGATCGTTAAGTGAATAAAGTAAACTTGATGAAAATTTTAAATTTCAATAATTCTTACGTTTGAGCAATTCAATATCAGCTCGAGATGTTCCGAGAGCATTAAATATATTTTTAAGAAGAGATTGTTTATTATTAATAGTTTATTATATTTTGGGGGAAAATAATTATAGAATACAAGCAAAATGACGTAGTATTAGATGATTTTAACCTTCTAATTGAGACACGTATATAAGGCTATGGTTGAACCAATACAACTTTTCCCGATCGAGCTTGGCTCCTTAATGTAACATGGGCCTGGACAAATCTATTATAAACAGTTCCTGGACTTTTACAGGTTAATAGAAACTATTATAATTAATTGTTGGGCTACTTTATGTGCGACTAAGTTCGGCCTAGCATTCTCTCGAACAATCTCTCGAAGGAAAATGTTGAGCAAAAGATAGCTTTACGTGCTCCAGCAAGAAAGATTTTAGCTCCTAAAAATCATTTTGCAATTTGCCAGAGATTAGACTATGCATGGTTAAGTTCCATTTAGAAAAGAAGAAGATTATTCATTAAGCATGCTTTGGTCTGCTATCGCGCACGTTTTTTTTTTCCTTGTCATTAATAGGACTAGAAGCATACAAAAGAAATTAAAGGCATTTGACGCATCACCAAAAATTTGATAGAAATTTCATAATCTCATTTCACCCATACCTCTACGTTGCATGTGCTGCGAAGGAAGTGTTTCCATAGCTCTTAGTTTAAATAAAAAAAATGTTTAATGGTAATTTTTTGTCGCTGAGTTATTAGGATCGTGTACTATACCATTTCCATTTCTATCACAAAAATATATAATCGAATTCAAGTTTCATGGTGAAAAGAAAAAATAAAAGTGAAAATGCTCCCAAAAAACTGAAATAGTGCTAAAATGACTGATTGATGCCAACATGTTCGCAGTCTAGGAAGCTAAATCAAGTTTCTGATCCAATGGTAGTTTTCTTTTTTGTAAAAAAAAAATTATTTATTTATATATCAAAAGAAGCTATTAACTAAGTTTCGAGCTTTGACATTTAATGAGACATTGAGTGTTAGGCTTGCAAATCTTGTAAACTATCGTGAATCACATAACATCGGCATTGCCTGGTTGGTCACGTTGAGCTATATATTTAGACTTTTGAGTTCAAAGTCACGTTCAACAAATATAATTGCCTGTAAAAACTTACTCAGCCTAACTGAAAACTAAATGCAATAGTCAGAGTCGTCTAATAAGTGGATTACGATACAAATTGTGGTTGGGTTTGCACCAAATCGAGTTCAATCTATGCTGACTTCAGCATTAATGTATTCCGATAGTCAAAGTTTAACCAACATAACTACCCAATTAAACAATTGTAATTTCACAAGTCAAGTCAAGTGGCCTAGCTAACCTCCTATGAGGATAAAGTAGTCGTGACAAAATGATGATTGATTGTGTTGCTGTGTTAAACCTATAATTTGGCCAGGAAATGCAAGACTAAAGAGATCACGGCTCCGTTGTCCTTCTGATGGTTGCCATTTGCAAACCCAGTATTGCAACAAAAGCTTATCACACTATGAGGCAAAAGCCCCAATCTACACACCGTGGACTTTCAGGAACTCCTACAGAAAACTTGGAACTAATTGGTGATCAAAGCCAGTTTAGTTTCTTTCACACCATTTTAGGGTCCCCGTCCAACGCAGTTGTTCTTGAAAGATTCAGCAGTCCTAGAATTCTCCAGGGGCGCACCATGTAGAACATGCCATGAATTTGTTCTCCTTAATTTATAATTTTCTCCCAATTTCTCAAGAAACTTCCTATAATATACCCATTTACACTACTATTAATGTTTCCATTATTTGATGGGAAGAGTAAGACCACTATTCGATATTTCCATTATATAATTAAGAAAGTGTTTTCCGCGTCTCCCCTTCTATTTACGCTACAAGAATGCAATTGAATAGTAATAATTTATTACGCATCTATAAGACTAACCATAGTTAGAAAAAATAATTAGCCGCAAGTAGAAGATGTTAAACTTGTGCCGACCGGTATGATGCTATTACTGTACTACTTCGGGTGCTATAAATTTATATATTTCTCAATGGTAAAGGCTTTTTGCGGCAGCGACAATAATTCACTCAAATCCGATGTTTATGTGACAATTCCAGAATTTGAATTAAGCATACAAATTAACCACTAAATTGGTTCGTTATGCCCAGTCTCTGCGCCTGTATGCATTGCCATGGTTGTGAAAAAAAGGTACAACTTTTTGTTATTTATATGCAGGTTAAGGTAAAACGGTACAACTTTTATGGTTAGATTAGCTGATAAGTGAATATGCTTCCTACCTCCTTAACTAGAGTTTAACTCTAGAAAAAATCATGTTTTTAGTAAGAAAATGAAATACAAACAAAATTTTTTATGCTAAATTTTCATATAAAATAATGTATTAATCTATATGTGATAAAGTATAGGTTTTATGACCTTAAATGATTGTTTTTTCATTAAAAAAAATTAACACTCACATGTATTTGTATGAAAATTTTGTATAATTTTTTTTAATCATTACTCATTGTAATAACGTGCTTTTTTTTTTTTTTTGGTTGAATTGTAAAGCTAGGCAGAGATGATTTTACTTTTGATAAGTGATTAAAAACAAATTTTAGTTTTCCTCACGTGTTCTCATTTTATATTAAAAATGAAAATAATTTTGTTCAATACTTGGACAAATAAAATTTAATTCCTTCCGATAAATACAATTTTAGAAAATCTACCTAGAAATCAATTCACTTATGGTTGGACCAAATAATTGTTGGTTGATTGAAAAAAAAATCGAGAACATAGACTTACCTTAAAAAAAAATGATTTGCAACTACATTTTTCATAATTAGGGGCGTTTATTATTCGGTGAAAACTTAATAATCAAATTGAATCACATTGAAATATCAATTTCGATGTGATTTTTTTTAGAAATTAAAAAAAAAACCCGAACCAAAATAATTTTGGTTTTCGAGTTTAGTTTTTTTTTAAAAAAAATCGATTAAACTAAAATTATATATATATATCAAATCACTCATTATTCCTAAATTGAAAAACCTTTCTCTCCTAGATGTATTTCCTCCTACAGACTTTGAACATGCTCTCTCTGTCTCTGCTATAAATCGGGATGTACACAAAATAACAAAGGCATTGATAGATTTTCTATCGTTTTAAATTCAAGATTTCTTGAGTGGATAATTTATTATTTGTTTATTTATCTATGTCTCTACTATTTTTTTGAACGCAACTTAGTTTTCTAGCTAGTAATCCACAAAATAGAAAAAAAAAAAACTCACCCTAAACAGAAATACGAGGAACTTCAATAGAATCAACAATTTGTAAAATAAATAAATAAAATAAAATAAAATAGGAAAAAAATTGAATTATCAAATATCGAAATTAAAATATTTCGAAACCAAACTGAAAAATTAGAATAATATTTAATTTGATTTTGTTTTTTTCTTAAAAAAAAAATTGATTCATAATGGAGGGTTAATTTAATACATTCAAATTGAGGATAGACATGGGGCCTTACCCCTTGATTATGTCATAAAGTCGGAGAAGTCTTGTTGCAGTGGCAACAAACTTAAGTCACAAAATTCCCCCATACCTTTGGCTTTATTTCCAAACACACCACGGCAAGTCCGGATGATGATGATGATGAGGATGATATACCGTTTACTTGTTCGTTTAATCCTCAATCTACAAAGCACACGCAAATCCAATTCTCTCACCACAATCTTACCTTCTCTTTCCTAACACAAATGTCTAATTCACCTAAAATATTGCTAACTGCCCTAACTTAATTAACTACTCTAAGAAAATTCAAGTCTGCAGGTCTTTTACTATTTGACCCCATATGCGTTCTCAATCACAGGTGCGTTTATTTAGCCCGTAGTTCACGGAAATTATGATCCTGATCCTGCGCTAGCTACCTAAGCAAAGAAGAAAGACCAGCACTAATTCATATTAAAATAATTCATAACAATTTTAATTCATATTACTTGTTCTTCCAATGTATTGATGACACGGAAGATTAATTAGGTACTACTGTAACCATTCTCCTGGTAATGCTTAATTAATTTGCTATAACTAATCGGATATTCGTACTATGTTGCGATCAGATAATCATTATATACACGAGTTTAACGATTTTTATGATATGATGCGAATAGAAGTTTTATTTACGAAGATTAATATATATATCGAATCTATATATTAAACGAATTTATTTGATCTATATATGTTTATTAATAAAATAATTTATAATATTAGTATAAAAATTTGCATTTGCATAATTAAGAAGTTTTTCCAATAATTAAGTTTTTCTTTCAAAATAATTTTCTGCAACATATGGAAATCTGGAGTCACTACTATTATTTACATCAAAAGCACTACCAAAATAATGAAAAATATTAATTTTCACCCTCAATTAAAAGATTTGTTGATTTCGAATTGATTATTTTTGCAGCCTTCCTGGGAAAATTACAAGCTGACGCACTTGTTGCATTCTATTTATTATGTGAAAACTGACCCAAATTAGAAGCAAAAATAATAGTAGTTTAGGAGTGGAATTGGATCTTCCACTAATCAATTAAAAGTATTCCTTAATAAAGTTGACTGTAGAAATATTCTCTGCAGTTGAAATTAAGCGTTGACACATACAAATATTTCCAAGCGTTTCTTCAACCTTTGTTCAAATTAATTTGTAATGGGTCAAAAACCAATCTCTCCATTGGAAATCAACAGCATCAAATTGTACGTCCATGAGATTTTTTATTTTTCCTGCAGCTTGTTACCTAAAGGTGGATAAATACCAAATTGTCGCTTGAAAAAAAAAAAACCAAATAATCATCACATACCATTAACAAACAATAATGAAATAAATGGATGCCGAATTACAATACCTTGTTATGCCAAATCCAATGTTAAAGAGATGCTGTGTGAATTAACGAGTTTGGGAAATAAGTGGCTATAATTTTTAAGTGATTTTACATTCTCCATGCTGTTCTATTTTTTTTTTTTTTCACCCATCAATTAAATACTTCATTAAATAAGCTGCCACATTTTACTAATGATAAAATCCTTGAATTTTCTCCTTGATGTTGTTATTAATTTCCTTAATCTCCATTTCTTATTTTTATAAGATAGTACTAGAGATACTTAATTCTTTTGCTAATTTTTTTTTTACTAATTAAGTGACATGGCATTATGCAATATATTGGTGTTTTATCAATCACTTAATTTTGTAATTATAGTTATTTTATTAAAATTGATAATATCTACATGCATTCCATGATTTGATTTTTTTCCCTAATAATAGATTACATGTTATTTAGTTATCAAAAACTTAGTAAAATAAAATAAAATTAGTACCCCTAGCATTATCCATTTTTTATATATAAATACATATTTACTGTAATACTTACAAATAAACAAATCGTACATAAATTTTATACAAACACATGTCATAATTATTTATTAATAGAAAATCATTTGTAGTTGATACATCAGTTTGTATGAAAATTTTGTTTAGAAATTATTTTCTATATTAATTTATGTTACCTTGGTTTTCATATCCTTAGTTATGCATTTTATACTTATGTTTCTTTTTTTTTCGATCATGGGTATATTAATTTTCTTTCTTAAATTTGTTGATCTTTTCTTTAGTTGTTTTCTAATTATATATCGATCATTTATTAATTAATTTCCTTAATTACATACAAACAAATCAGCTCTCTCTCTCTCTCTATATATATATATCATGTGCGGTAGCATATATATCACCAAATGACCATGCATGTATGTTAGGTGAACAAGCATCAAATATAAACGAGGATAGACGATTAAAATAATTAATATAATTCATCCTTGTGTGTAAAGAGTAACTAACTTGGCATTTTGATTTTCTTCGGTGAAGAGAATTTTTAAATAAAAAGTTCGGGTACCAGCCCAATATATAATCCTTTCGTCTCAGTTTCTTGCATCTCAATCCATACCTCTCTGAGTCATCAAAAACATTCTTTGAGCAGCCATTGTTTCTTCCAATTGTCTTCTCCATTTGTCTCTCTTTTGGAAAAGCAAGTCCACTTTCCTCTCTCTGTCCCTATATATATATGTGCACCTCACGACAAAGAGTTTAACATCCATACCTCCTATTATTCTAACTTGCAAGTATCTTTCAATTTGTCTGCCTTTTCGATCTCCTTAAAAAGTGAAAGCAGACAAAATGTATCCACAATACCCGCCAAGACATTTGCTCTTAATTCTCCTCATCATATTGCCTTCCTTTATCTCTTGTTTTAGCACTTACCAAGAGATCCCAACTGCCAATATACTTGACCATACCCATAGCTACAGTGATTCATCAAGATCCTATCATCCATATTTTAGCACCATTGATAGAAAAGATAACGACTTCAAGCATACATTTCCAAGTTCGATCAATTATGAGTCCACGGTTCTAACAAGACTCAATGGAGCAAACGCTCCTGCAAGTTCAGCAAAGGTGGTAAATGTGGACGATTTTGGAGCTAAAGCTGATGGAACAGATGACAGTCAGGTACAATTAATTTGATGAAAATGAAAAATAAAATTATTAATTGTATTTTTATTGTTATTAAATTTTAACTCTTCTTTTGTGGGTGCAACGTTGGGATTTTATTGTTGGCACATTGTTAGGCATTTAAGAAAGCGTGGGAGGAGGCTTGCTCTTCTAAAAGAAGTGCCGTTATCGTGATACCTAAGAACAAGATTTACTATCTCAAGCCAGTTACATTTTCAGGTCCTTGTGAATCTGATCTTGTATTCATGGTGAGTTCAAGCATGCATGCATACTATTTCTATACAAGTATGAACTGGTATATAATTACTAATGCAATAGCCTGAAAAGAATCAAGAAATTCTAGTAGTGCAATGGTAATTAAGAGAAGTTTTGTGGGACTTAACTGTCAATACATATTTTATATAAAAAAAATGGACACAAAGGAAAAAAAAAAGAATCTATATGAAAATATTCTTATTATTTTTATGGTTTCAGATTCTTATTATTTTTATGGTTTCAGATATGATTTTTTTTTTTGGTATCTAAAAAAATAAGCAGATGAAATAAGTAGTAATAGTTGTTTATTGAGAATTTTAAAATTTCTTCTATAGCAGTTGTTGTAAATAAAAATAAAAATAATGGCATTTGTGTGTATATTTATCCTCCATGGCATATCCAATATAAAAGCTAGAAATATGCCATTGAAAAGCCGATTAAAAATATCATCCGTAGACACACAAAAAATTGCAAATTAGGGACTAGAAATTAACATTTTTTAGTCTGAGGGGACCATTATATCTTAATGAATTTGGATTACCGTTGATATTTGAATAATTTACATGTTAAAACTTTTGGGCATATCTATTGAACTTTTGGACCTTTTTCTTTTTCTTTTGTCTATACGCATCTTTTTAATATAAGCGCAAACATCAAGAAATTCAATTTAGTCCCCGTAATCATTAATGTAAAAAGAATTGTAATCGATTAATAAGAAATATCCTATTCACTTTTTTGACAAACCAGGTTTTTGGAACAATCAAAGCGTCCGCTACAATAAGCGACTACGAAAAAGATAGAATGCATTGGCTTGTATTCCAAAATGTACAAAATTTCAGAGTTAAAGGTGGTGGCACCATCGATGGCAGTGGAAAAATATGGTGGGAAAAGTCTTGCAAAATCGACCAAAGCCAGGTATATTTAAATAACAAATTCTTCCATTTCATTTTTTCAATCAATTTTATTCTAAAAATAATAAATAAAAAACCTAATCTGGGTACTTCTTTTCTCCCTCTTTTTTGTTTTCAGCCTTGCCAACATGCACCAACTGTAAGTTCATGGTCTTTCGATCACTTTTTAGTCAGTCCCTAGATTAACTCCTGAAACCCTGGCAAACGAGTTGAATAATCTATTTGTTTCACAGGCTGTGACCTTCTTGGAATGCAAGAGTTTGATAGTAGCCAACCTGAGGTTCAAAAATGCACAACAAATGCATCTTACGTTCCAAGATTGTGTTAATGTCAGAGCTTTGAATCTCATGGTAATTGCACCGGCGACGAGCCCGAACACAGATGGCATTCATGTCACCGGCACTCAAAACATAAGGATAAGAAAATGTGTCATAAGGACAGGTAAACAAAACGCACCGCTTTGGATAAAGCCACAAAAGCAACTGATATAATTTCTTTTATATAAAATTAAAATTCGATCTGAACCTTTAACGTAAATTTATTGTCTAACAAATTGAGTGTTCTGTTTTGAAGGTGATGATTGTATTTCAATAGTAAGCGGGTCTAAAAATATAGAAGCCAGTGACATAACCTGCGGACCAGGCCACGGAATAAGGTATTCACTTCAACTACTCTCTTGCTAACAGATCAATTTATACCTAAATAACCAATTTCAACTGTGCAATCTGACTTGCAAGGTGTATAACAACCGAATTCTTACATAGTTTTTCTTACCAAATCTAATGTTTTCTTGTTGTGGGGCTTGTTTTGCAGTATTGGTAGCCTAGGAGCCGATAATTCAGGGGCTGAAGTTTCAAATGTGTTTGTTAATAGAGCAACAATTTCAGGAACCAGTAATGGAGTTAGAATTAAGACTTGGCAGGTAAGAGTCACTTTCTAACATCTTTTGTGCGCATACATTTTACAACTTTCAAGGTCATATCACATTTGCACTATCAAAGAAGAATCTACATTGGTATATAGTTTTGTGGAGGCAATTCAAAATGCTGAATAATGTGAAGTACGAACATTCATAATTAGCTTGAAAGGAGGGCAAAGCCGACAATTCTGACCTTGTCGAATTTTGGGCCTAAAGCACTGAGAAACATGGACTTGTACAAGAACATGCTGGTCTCTGAATTAGACCAAATAGTCCACATTAAGGCTGCCTGAAGAAAGAAAATCTGTGAAAAGCAACACCTTTGATCCGCTGATCACGAATGCTATGGCATATTTTTCAAATCTATTTTCCTTTTGAAACGGCAAGAACAAGACTTAGGATTTATGATAATTGACCGCATCCTAATTTACTAGTGGTGTGTTAACTAATTTTGATTAATGGGCTGACTAATAGCTCTTAAAATTTATAAATATTGCAGTCAACCATGATGTTAGTTCCAAATTAGTTGGTTGTACCTTGCAGAGGAGGCAGTACTAGATGGTTAATATTGTTCTATGGTGTTTATAAGCAAATTGTGTTTTTTGTGCTATCTAGATGATTATGTTATTGCAAACGAATCAATGATATTACGTTCATATTCTTGAATTGCAGGGAGGTTCTGGATATGCCAGGAACATAGTGTTTCAAAATGTGGTAATGCGTAATGTGACAAATCCCATAATTATCGATCAAAACTACTGTGATCAAGATAATCCATGCAAAGAACAGGTAATACATATGACCCCATCACTTTAAATACGATCATCGCCCTTGACTAGCAGTACCGAATATTTGATAATCTAATAGTTAACACGTACATAATCATAACATATTATTTTATAATATTGGCAGACCTCGGCTGTGCAAATAAGCAACGTGAGGTACAAGAACATCAAGGGAACTAGTGCTTCGGATGTAGCTGTAAAATTTGATTGCAGCAAGGCCGTCCCTTGCCAAGGAATTTTGTTGCAAGATATAAATATATCACTCCAGGAAAAGGGAAAGCCCGAAGCTTCATGCGCGAACGTTAAATTAACAAGGAGAGATGAAGTTTTTCCACAGTGCTCGTAACTTGTAAATAGGAAAAGGAGCGTTCTTATATTTATAGATGCTAGCTATTGGAAATGCCAATAATTTGTCTTTTTTCATTCTCGATTTAATAGTAGTAATGACAAAAAGAGAGGTGTGATTTTTATTCAAAACTATATTTGTCTACTACAGTATCGTTTATGTCTCAAAAGTGAAAATAAATAAATTTTAATTGATAATTTCAAAAGCCTACTTAAATCAAGTTTAGATATTTTTTAATATGAATGTAACTATTTCTTTTAAAAAATCGAGTACAAAGCAATCCATATTAAAGAGGCCTTTCAATTAATTGACTTGTTAATATTTGTCTGATTAATTCTAGGGAATGGCAATAAAAAGAACGGCGGCATGCGAACGTGCTTTTTCAGCCATTATATATATAATGATCCAACGGTGGATCCTCGTCCTTTTAAAAAAAATTGCAAAACATATTGTTGTAAAAGAAAATATGAAAGCGAGAATGATGAGGGATTGAAAAATGACGTTAAACTATTTTTTGTTTTATTATGGTCAAGAGTATGTTTAACATAACTTGTGAAAATACATTTCGACTGTAAGCCATAATTTAAAACTTATTTTTTATAAACAACGTATTATAAAATAAGTTAAATTAGAAGTATATTTTACAAAAAAAAATTGAACTTTTTAAAAGAAGAAAGGTAATATGAATTATAATGAATAATCTAAAAATTAAAAGTTAAAAGTTTTAACTTTAATTGAATCAAAAAATTGGCTTAATATTATAACTAGTATTTGATTTAAATCAAAATTTATTTTTGTTTATGATTTTTGTTTCAATTAAAATTAAGTTAAAAAACAAATTAAAACGAATTATAAAAGCCTTATCAAATGGAGCCAGAATCAATAATGGATGAGCTCATGTGAATGCTAGTCAATTTGTTTTTCCTTTTTTAACTGGGTGGCTGATAGTCATTTCAAACCTTAGGATGGATGGATTAGGAATTTGAAATTGAGAATTAGCTGACAACAACATGCTTCAGAGTTCAGACCTTCATTTAACAAAAATATAAGTGTGCGTCGCGTGTATACAATATATATATACACACACACAACAACAACAACAAAAAGAATAGTATTGTACTAATTAATTGGATAATTATATTAGTGAGATGAACTTTTAATTTCTTTTATATATTTTAGCCCAAAATTTTTTACACGTGTTAATAAAAAACTAATATAATTTTATAAACAATTTTTTTTTCGAGATAGCGAAGTACTTTTTTAATTTGCTTAAACGTTAAAGATATACAAAATTCCCAAAAAAGGTAGAAAACAATTTGAAATGGTCCCAAGTTTTGTGGGAGTCCTAAAAAATTTTGGGACCATTTTTTTTTAAATTATTAGAGTCCTAAAAATCTTATAAATTTATCTACAAAGTCTTAGAATGATTACAAAAATGTTTACGCATTATAATGCGCGATATCTAATTAACCAAATTTAAAATAAATTAATTTTGAAAACCACACATAAAAAAACAAAAATTGAGAACCAAAATTAAAATTACCTATATAAATTATATATCAATCAAAACCATTGTGATAAAGATAATCAATGCAAACAACAGGCGATACATATGACCCCATCACCTTTGTAATCATCGATCTCTTGATTAGCACTATTGAAGATTTAATAACCTAATGAACACAAAATCATAAACCATGGTTTTCTGTAATTGGCAGGACTGGGCTGTGAAAATAAGCAATGTGATATACAAGAACATCAAATTAGGAACCAGTGCTTCGGATGTAGCTGTAAAATTTGATTGCAGCAAGACCATCCCTTGTCGAGAAATTTTGTTGCAAGACGTAAATCTAGCACTCGATGGAAAGGGAAAGCCCGAAGCTTCATGTGCGAATGTTAATTTAACCAAAAAAAGGGGGAAAGTTTCTTCATAATGAAGAGAATTAGCTTAAATTTTGTAATTATATATTTTAGATATTGTTTTTATTTATCTCTACAAGTTTAATTAATTTCAATTTAATTTTTAATTTATTATTTTAGCAAATATTTTCAAGCAAACCGATAAAAATACCCTCATGGGAGAAATTCAAACCCCATTTAATTTATTAAAAAAAGAGCGAAATTTATGTGAAGTTGCCATTCATTTTTTTTTCATGATTTTTTTTATGAGTGTATTTTTGTTAGTTTGGATGAGAATATCTGAATTATTTAGAAGCAAATTAAAAATAATTAATCTTATAAAAATATATTAGAAACGAAAAATATATAAGGATAATTTGAGGTAATCCATCAATACTCGTAAAATAGGAAAAGGAGCATTCTAATATTAAGAGATGGCTAGGTAGCTCTTAGAGATGCCAATAATTTATGATATTTTCTCTCGAAATAATAATAATAATGAAAAAAAAAAAGGAAAGTGTTCATTTTTTATTGATAAGTATATTTGTTATCATTTACGTCATTCAACAGACAATTCAAAATATTTACCGACATATTCAAAAGACAAACTTGCCAAAAACAAAAACAAGAGTTGCATTATAGAATTTCATTTCATTTCAATTCCAAATAAACTCAAATAGCCTGGTAAGTATAAGGTACAGAAAGCCCATAAAACAACTGAACCAGGCTCGCAGCAGGTTAAGTAAAAAAGGCCCATCTAATAGAAAACGATCAAGACCAGTTTCAGGATCGTAGCATTTGAACTTTCAAATGCCAAATTTAACTCATTGGAGGCCTAAGAACTTACAAGAGTATGACTTTATTAGGTTTAAAGGCATTTTTGGTCCCTGTTATATTATAATTTAATAAATTTAAGTTTTTAGTATCAAATTATGTAATTTCAATCCTAAAATATTGATTTTTGGACAAAATTTATTTAATTTTTCTAATAATCGTTATATGTATGTTAACCATTACTTAAAATACCAAAACGACGTCATTTTAATATTCCGTTGTTAATTATTTTATTTTTTAAAAAATATTTTTAATCCTCTAATCTTGAACTTTCTTAAAAAAATTTTCTTATAAAATATATCTAAAAAACTTTTATAAATATTTGAACCCCTAAATTTTGAAAATTTTTTAATTTTTTATTATAAAATATTTTAAACATTTTGTAATAATTTTTTTTATATAATTTATAAAATTAGGAGGTCAATCCTTAATTATACTCATTTTAATTTATAAATTTTTTTAAAAGCCTGAAATTGTGAATATATTGTTTTTTTTTTACAATTTTTTTTATAAAATGTTTATAATAATTTATAAAAAAATTTGAAAAAAAAATTCAAAATTGGGTTTAAAATATTTATATAATTTATAAAACGTTTAATGTTTTTATATAATTTATAAAATGTTTTTATATAACTTATTAGATATTTATTAATATTTTATATGAAAAAATTTTAAGATTAAGGCAATTAAAAATATTTTAAAATAATTTTTAAAAAATATAATTAATAACTCGAATATCAAAATAATGTCGTTTTGGCATTTCAAATAATAATCAGCCAAATTAATCGTTATATATAAAGATAATTAAAAAATTTTGATTAATTTTATCCAAAAACTAATATTTTAAAGTATAAATTATATAATTTTACACTAAAAATCTGAAATTATCAAATCAAAATACAATAAGAGCAAAACTTACCAATAAACCGACTTTATTATATGCTTGCTCTTAATGTATAACCAGCGGTGTTCCCAATGACGTTGTTGAGTGGTTCGTATGTTGGTTGTCTAATTGTTTACAAATAAACAAGATTGTTAAAAGTTTTCGCCTTTTTTTTTCTTGACTATAGATTCATTTTTATTTAAATTACATTCAAGTATAAAACTTGAGAAAAATATGCTTCTTCCTTATAATCATCTCTTTACTTTTATTTATGTTAAAAGTATATATATATATTTTTTATTTTAATGCAATGTGCATATTCAAAAAATCAATAAAATTATCTTATTTCGTATAGCTTTGAGTGTGAAAAAATAAGAATGATATTTGGACCATTACCCATAAAATAAACTTATTTTAATATGAATCCATTTTAAGATCTAAATTTCAATTTTGTTTTTCCAAAAACACGTTCCTTTTATCTCAAAACCTTTTTTTTTTAAAAAAAGAAACACCCCAATCTAATCCAAAAATGTTTGTCAATTGAGATTATTTTTCTTAGATCGAGTTAATAAATATCATCTAACTTTTAAAAAGTTCATTAAAAGTGAAAGATTAAAAAGACAAATAATATATCAAAATTAGTGAATAATTGAAACATTGATTAATATAAAAAACATCATTTTGAATTATAAATAGACCTGATTGAAATATAATAAGGATATAAACGATACATAATCAAATTATCAAACTACAATAATGTTTGAATAAAGAGATTGTAATTTTTATTTTTCCATTTCTTTTTTCTAGTATCTCCATTTTTCAAAATATGAAATATGGATCTTAAATGAAAGTTTACAACATGAACTTTTTCAAAAGTTTTATATTAATTTGTTTATTTAATTATTTTCCATTTCTTAGATTCATTTGCTTTATTCTCCTTTTATTTCAATAGAAAGGGTGATGAATATGGTTTATAAAAGACGCGTAATTCAAATCTTGTTTCATCTAAGATCCAAATCCTAAAGACTGTATTCAAAATTAAGTATTATCAATTTGAATTATCTTCTTGTCAATTCAAAATACGTTTCATATTACACATATCCAATCCACATCAATAAGTAATATTTTTTTTCTGTTTTTATTGATTAAGATAAAAGTAAAAAATAAAAAACAAAGCATTAAGAATAATAGGAAAAAAATTAAAATAAAAATACTAAAAATGTAGTCGAAGTAATGTCCAAATTTGAATATCTCCACCTCAAATTATTAAAAAATAAAAATTTATTTAAAAAGAGTTAATCATCAGTAGCTGAACTAAATAAAACGTAGTATTGCAAGAAAAAAAAAACTTAAAATAAAAAAAAATAAAAACTGTTCTTTTCTG